GGATAACAGTGATTTGATCAATTGTGTCGGCCACTTTTTATGTTTATTGGGTCATGTGCTACTATTGGATCAATTGTCAAACAATTGGAGGATTTCGAAGACTTGTCAGAAGCTTTGATACACTTTCATGACTCTTTTTCTGTGGGAGGATGATCGAGCTTTCTGAACTTGGACCGTCTCGCTTTGTAGTGTAAGGTAATCGAGCAACCACGTTTTTTTCTATATAGTGGGGTTTTGAACTCTATCTAGTGTTTGAGATTCTAGGTTGTTTAGAGCATACTTGGTCTAATTATTCTTTCTTTATTTTTCTTATTTATTTTGTAAAATTAATGGGTACATGTACTGTCTAGTTATACATGTCAGAACTTTAAACAAAACTTCCTCAAAATTTACCATCCACCTCTGAAACACAATTATCACTTGTCCTCCCTCTAATTTTCTTCTCACGAAATTTTGCTTCTGGCGGTTTTGAGTTCACAACACAGCCCCCTCGATTGTTTTTGGGAGATTATTTTCTATGGAGCCTGCTATACATTAGGTTTGTTTTTTTTTTTACCTCTCGGGTGACCAAGCACATCCACTTAATTGTGTGGCTGGTAGGTCATCTCCAACCCCCCGTCATTCTTTAGCGTGCGCGGCTACGAGTCCAAGACTCCGAGAGCTCGCCCACGCCTTCAGCAGCCTGCCCGTGCGACTTCACAGCCGCCACGTCCGGCCCCTGCTACGCTAGCCTAGTGTCGCACGGCCATTTCAGTGCCTCCCCTTTCCTCCGTGGGCCAACCGCTATCCACCTTCACTAGTAGCCGGCGATGGACCCCTGTGCCCGCCTCCTCCGCGCTGGCTGGCTTGCCTCCCCCAAGATCTTTTCTAAGCTTGTAGGACTTCTGAACCCGAATCCACAATATCGCATAAGGTAAGAAGAGCTCAAATTTCAAACACGGTATAGAAAAATGTGTTTTTCTAAACCGAGTTCAAGGTAAACCCGTCAAGTATATCTCATTCATTACCAGTAATCACATTGTATGCTTTCTCTTTGACCATTTGTCAAAGAACCGCCATTGCCGGTTTACCGCTAATAACCATAGCCCTAAGAATAACAAATGTAACCAACCTAAGTGAAGCTATTCTTGTCCAATGGCCACGTGCCCACGCCAAGTACAAGTGCCCTTGGCATTGCACAAAATCGCCCCCTCCAAAAAAGCCACGAGCTGAGCTTAGAAGCTGGAAGGCCAAAACCGTCATTTCGCCATCTACCAACCTTCCATCCTCCGAGTGCGACTCTCCATTCCGACAAAAAAGAGTCCGAGCAGCCGGCGGCGCCACGCAATGGCGTACCAGGTGCTGGAGGTGACGCTGATCTCGGCCAAGGACCTGAAACGGGTGACGCTCTTCAGCAAGATGCGCGTGTACGCCGTGGCGTCCATCTCCGGCGGCGACCCGCGGCTGCCGACGCACCGGACGTACGCGGACCGCGAGGGGGGACGGAACCCGATATGGCACGCCCCGCTGCGGTTCACCGTCCCGCCCGCCGCCGACCCGCGCGGCCTCGCCCTGCACGTGCTGCTCCGCGCCGAGCGCGCCTTCGGCGACCGCGACGTCGGCGAGGTGGTCGTGCCCATGCAGGACCTCGCCGCCGCGTCGGCCGAGGGCAGCGGCGCCGGCGCCAGCGCTAACGCCGAGCAGAGGCACCTCAGCTACCAGGTGCGCCGCCCCGTCAGCGGACGCAAGCGCGGCGTGCTCCACATCTCCTACAGGCTCTCCGACGCGCCGGCGCCGGTGCCGGACGCCTACCACCGGTACACGCAGGCCCCGCCGGCGTCGTCCATGTCGTCCAAGCGGCACCACGGCAAGGGCGCCGATGCAGTCATCACCGCGTACCCGGTCGCGACCCCGCGCGGCGGCGGCGCGCGGCAGTACCCGCCGTACCACCAGCCGTACGGTCATTCTCCCTACGGTGGCCCCGCCGGCGCGTACCCGCACCACCACCAGTACGGGTACGGCGCGTACGGCTACGGCGCCGCGCCGTACGGGTACGGGGGCCACGGCGCCGCGCCAGCGGGGAGATCAGGCGGCGGAGCAGGGATGGGCACGACGGCGGGTCTCGGCCTCGGCCTGCTCGGCGGGTTGATGATCGGCGACATGATCGCCGACGCCGAGGTGGACGCGGCGTACGACGGCGGGTTCATGGACGGCATGGGCTTCTGATTCTGTGATGCAGTCGTCGCTCAATAACCGACCAGAATGAAATGCGCGGCGGCGGGCGCCGTTGATGTCCGGCACACCTCTCGTTGCATGGCTGTGCTGCATTCTGATTGTGCGTGGATGCATCCAAGCAGTGCACTTTATCTCGTTAATTAACTAACACAACATCCTAGGTACCTAATCCGGGATAATTTTGTACTTTAGCGAACATGAACTGCAAATCTGCAATGTTGAAGCTCTGCAACAAACGTGTGTGTTAAAGCGGGATGACTTTTCATGGACCATCCGAGGTTAATCTTGTTGCATCTTGTTGCTTCTTGTGTTCTGTCTTGTGTCAGAATGAGCTCAATCTGTTCATTTTCTTGTAAAAAAAATATGTACGCAATGAAACGATATGCTACCTGGCTTTTGGGTGTTTCACTCTGTTCTAGCACACGATTTTTTTTAACCGTACGATGAAGATCCAACGGCCTCCACCTCTTCTTCTACCTCCGGTCGCACCCAGCTCCACTCCACTGCCCAGTGAGCGTTCCGCCGCCACCGCTCACCCAGCCGCCGGCGCGCGGCCCGCCTCTCCCCCGGTTCTTCCTCTCCCCCGGTTACTCCTTGGCACAAATCATAAATCACAGATCACAGATCACGAGAAACAATTTTTTCTATAGAACGATAAGGACAAAGGTTGGGGGAGAGGCTCGTCGGAACCCTAACTACCGCCACCGTTGTCTTCTTCTCTGGTAGGCACAGATCTAGGAGGAGGAGGAGGGGGCCTACCTCGCGTCGGGGAGGATCCACCGCAGTCGCCGGAGGGGAGGGAGGAGCCGGGCGCCTGAACCCACCGGCGCGGGTACTGCAGGAGGCAAGCGCCGTCGGAGTACCACCGCCGGGTGGTGGTTGAGCGAGCAAGCCGTCGTGGTGTTGAGCGAGCCAGCAAGCAGAGCCGCCGGATATCGTGTGCTGGCTCCTCGCAAAACACACAGGTGTAACTTAGCATTTCTGTATATCAAAAGAAGAAATTCAAACTGAATAATAATACAATGAAACACAAAGACGTCAAAGGGTCTAGCAACAACACAACTGAGGCAAACAAACCAATAAAAACGAAAACGACCAACAAAGACGAACTGGAATAGGACCTCAGCATACCCCGTAGACAAGTCAACTCACACCCCACCACTGCCGTCGTAGGTACAAAATGACGTTGTGTGTTGGATGTTGTTAGAGGTCAGGTAATCAAAAGAAAAATGGAAGAAAAATGGAAGGGTTAGCGTCTGGACGTCCGGCCGCAGGAGGCCTTCGGACGCTGCTCCCGTTCGAGCGTATCCATTGTGTCCCCTCCAGCCCTGTCCTCACGTAACAGACGGCGCCCTGCCCGTCCCCGTAACAGATGCACGCCTGTAACCCCACGGTGCCGAAACGGACCGAAGCGTGCCCGCCTCACCCCGCCTGCGGATGCGTGCCGCGGAGGCGTTTGCTGACCTCAGGCACCCGCACGGTGACCCACAGCGGCGCCCCAGCAGCAACAGGGGCTACGACAGGTGGGTCACATTACAACATGTGCAACACCCGATCCACTTTTAAAACATCCAGATGCAACACTTGCAACATATGTCTGGAGACAGGTGAAACACTTGAGACATGTGTCTGAAACACTTGCAAAAACACCTGAAAACCATTGTAAAACATACGCAACATCCAAATAAAACGCTTGCAACATATGTGTGAAACATATGCAACATCCAAATAAACACATTTGCAAAATACGTTTGAACAAACAGATGAAATATTGGGAACAGAAGTTTATAACAGACGTGTACAACTATTGTAACATATGCAACATCCTGATCTACTTTTGTAATATCCATATAAAACACTTGTAACATACATCTGAAATATCTGAAACACTCAAAACATGCGCTTGCAACATGCGCTTTCACCAAAACTTGACAGACGGGTGGGCAGAGCACTGCACAAGTGCACAGCGAGATCCGACGCTAGGCCACGTGAAGAAGGAGGATGGCAGTGGACTGGCGGCTGCGCGGCCCCCGGTGAGCAGCGGTGCCCCCGGCGAACGGCACCCACAGTGGAAGGCGGCAACGGCAAGGCGCCCCCGTGCTGGAGAAGGCCGCAGTGAGCGGCAACCGCGCTGGAGAAGGCGAGCGATGGGGAACACCGCGATGGCTGTGCGAGTTGGGAAATGTCGCTGTTTTTTCGGAGAAGCCGTGAAGGAAGGTAGAGAGGAGCAGGCCTAATAGGCTAGTAGCGTGCAGGCCCAGGAAAACGCGGCGTCCTGACGGTTGGATGCCCGCACCACACCATTTCTGAAAGAAAAAGGATATGGGGCGGTGATGATCCACAAAATTGTAAATGTGCCTTGCAAAAAGTTGGCAAGAGACTTGCCAAACGAACAAAGAGAAAAAATATCGCATTTTGATTGAAATTCCATTGCATTGGTGCAATGATATTATGGTATATATATGCACCCATATGTTTCTGTCTTCTGTTTTCTGCATAAGTTGCCGTAGCTGTTTTTTGCAGCAACATCAGCTGGCATGTCTCTCACAAAATCACTGTACAAACAGCAAGCTGCAATTGTTTCTGCAAGCAGCCAAACAAGCTCAATCGACATGGTACATGGACAAATATTTGTGGGTGAAAATCGATGGACATGCACCCTTTCTTTATTCAGGTTCCAAAAGAGCAATGCGGTAATAGTCGACTTCTAAGTTCTAACTAGTCAAGAGAAGCAAAACTAGCAGCTACCACGAAGGTACAGAGCCACGGACACGGGAAGTGTTGGATCACTTGATGAGGTTGGTGATGGCGGCACCGATGACGGCCATCTGCTGGCAGTCGGCACCATACCTCGCTAGCACGGGCGGCGTCCTGGCACCGGCCACCGCGAGCGCGGCGTCACACCGGCGCACGAGCGGCGCCACGCGGTCGAACCTCTCCTGGGCGCGCTCGAACAGCCGCGCGCCGAGCTCGGCGGCGGCCTCGGCGAAGGCCATGCCCACGGCGTCGTAGGCCTGCGCGCATGCGCCCATGGCCGCCTTCCCCCTGGCGCCGCCGGCCGGCGGGTCCGGGATCGTGCCCTCGTGGACGTCGTACACGGCGTCGTCGCCCAGGCTGACGCCGATCAGCGCCGCCGTCCTCGCCACCCCCACAGGTCCGACTCCGCCGCGCCGTGGTACGCCAGAAACTGCTGCGCGCAGAACAGCGCATCCAAGCGCCGGTCCCGCGCAGCGGCCGCCGCGCACGTGCTCTCGATCGTCACCTCCGTTGCGCGCAGGCCGGTGGACGCCGATGCCACGGCCAGCACGGTCATGGCGACGACGGCCAGAGGAGAGGATGGTGCCTTCTTCATCCTTATATTCTCTGAGTTGCTTCGATTTGTTTGTTTTCTTGTCAAAGTTGCAATCTTGTATTAAGATTAAGAGAGAAATGGATGAATTTGCACGGAGAAGAAATGAGACGGCGAGGAGTTTGCATGAAACAGGGAGAGACCGAACAAGTGTCCGGTTTACAATGATTTGTATCTCTAAAATATGGGCCCACTTGTCGGTCAGTCACGGGCTCAATTAGGCGGGCGGTGGCCACGACATGAGCGCGGCGACCTTCCTGGCCGCCGGCCTGGCGGCGATCCTCCGCCACCACGCCGCGACGGCGGGGCGCTCCTCCACGAGCGCGGCGTACTCCGTGGCCATGAGGTAGTGCGTGAACCCGAAGTGCGCGAGGTCGGCGAGGCTGACGCCGGCGTCCCCGCCCCCGGCCAGGTACGCGTGCTCGCGCAGCCGCGCCTCGTACGCCGCCAGCACCGCCCGCAGCTTCCCGGCGCTCTCGTCGACCACGCGCTGGTCGCGCGCGCCGCCGGCACCGATCATCGGCAGAATCACGCAGTGCCGCACGATCTCCGCGATGGCTGGCTCGTACTGGTGCGCCTCCACCTCCAGCCAGACGTCCACCATGGCGGCCCCCTCGGGGTCGCCTTCCCTCAGCAGGTCGCCGCCGCCGCCGGCGGCGCTCTTGTAGTGCTTTCGGAGCACGTGCCTTGAAATCGCACGTGATTCTAGCGAAAACAAAATAGTTCTTGGTTTAGATGTAGATACAGTACTATTTTACATAAATTTATTCAAAAAATTTAAAAATTGAATTGGTTTAAATGTAGAACTGCATTTCTCGTGGACGGAGGAGGGAGTACCAAATAGCGTGAGTTCTCCGTCCTGGAAGGCAGGGATCTTGCCGAACGGCTGTAGAGAGATCGATGATTTGTTTTAGAGGATGATGAACAGATAAATTTGACAGGCGGTGATGAGTGAGAGAGATGATTCCGTTTCGGCGTACGTACGTTACGGGCGAGGTGGTGCGGCGCCTTGTGCTCGCGCGCCGCCATGTCGACGGGGACGAGCTCGTACGCGGCGCCGGCCTCCTCCAGGCACACCAGCACCGTCGCCACGAACGGCGACGCCGCCGGGCCGTACACCTTCACGACGCTGCCCGCCATATGGCTTTTTTTGCTTCCTACCTGCCGGGGCTTCGTCCCGATCGCCTTAGTTCTTTCTCCCGCCGTGGCGACCGGGCAGCTCGCTACTCTGCTCAAGTTTTATGCTTGATCGGAGGTGATCACCAACTGCGAGCAACAAGTTTCGTGGAAGCTGCGTGTGATGGTCATGGAGACGACTGACGAGAGAGACATCACTCGGCACGCGTGACGTGTCAAGTTTAGTTTACACTTTCCGGTACATCTACTCTGTTTTTTAATCATGTTGTCACTCTCATGAAACTTCGGTACACACTCCGTCCAGAGAAATATAATGATATATCTTGGCATTTTTTTTATATATTTGGTTAAGCTTTAGATTGGTTGAGTCGTGAGAAAGTGAGATGCATTCTTTTTAATTAATGGAGGGAATATATCCTAGTTGTAATATATATAGTAAAAAAAACAAATATCAATGAGATTTTTTTCCTATTCTTTATTAGCATTTATATCTTCCCGTCCAAGAAATGAAGCTCCAAATAGTCAGAGGTGTTGATTTATCTCTCTTTCGCAAAAAGGAGCGTTGAATTTCGTATGCAAGCATCGTGTTGGTCTTCGGACGTGAAAGATTACACCAAGAGTCATTCAGAAGGCCACGCGGAAGACAATGCAAAACGAAAATGCAAGGGCAATAATGGATAAGTCACTATATGTAAGACAATTATTGAAGAGCGTAGCACCTTTCGTTCGTGTGTCCAGGCAACTTGAGTGGCTATATAAAAGAAAAAGGCATGTGCATACATGGTATACACACACTTCTATGAATCAGAATTCAACCAAATTATATATAAAAAATATTTTGACATGTATTTGGTCTTCAAATTATAGAGAACGTTCAAGCGTGAAAGACCATACTAAGAGTCATCCAAAAGGCCATGTGAAAGCAACCCGCACCAAAAGACAATGCAAAAGGAATATGCGAGGGCAATAATGGATGTGCAACTATAGCCAAGAGCTCAGTATAATTATTAGCGTAGCATCGTCCAGGTGTCTAGACAGCAGTGAAGATAAATAATAATTCAAAATGCTCCATAATGTTCATCGAGTGAATATAAAAGATAGGCGCATGCATTCGGTACGACCATGAGGACAACCTCCTAGCTCCACTTTCCACACCTTCAGTCTAGTATAGTATAGAATAAAGGAGTTGCTTGTGAACACCTCATGCTTGTAAGGCGATGTCTCCAGATTTATGCTCAGTGCTTGGGTTTCTCGAAAAGAATGTAAGTAGTTTTCCTTTGAAAATCATTGCTTTCTTTTAGTTCATTGCTATTTTTATACAAAGTGCCACGTGGAGGATGGCCCAGCTCGTTTTGATTCTCAGTACTCAATCGTTCTCCTCCTCGTCATCATGCCAAATGCATGCGTCTGGCTTTCCTTTTATAGCCGCTCAACGAGCGTTTTGGAGCAACTTGAATTATTTAGCTTCACCGTTGCTCGGACACGTGGTCCCGTTTGGCTTATCCCATATCCGGCTTGTTCGACTTTTTTTTTTCAACCGGAACAGTATTTTTCTCTCACAATATTTCAACCAGAACAGTGTTTTTTTAGCCAATTTCAGTCAAGATTCAGCAAGCCAAACGGGGCCTTAGTAATTGTCCTAGCTATACTGGCACATCTATTATTTCTCTTGTATATTCCTTTTGCGTTATCTTTAGGCACGAGCTGTTTTCACGGGGTCTTCCAGATGACTTCTTGATATGGTCTTCCACGCTCGAATGATTGATGTTACAAATATCGATCAAATTATATAAAAAAATTCAAACATGTATTTGGTCTTCTTGTGTATATTTGGTCAGAATAGTGTTCTAGGTGCCTATGCCCTTTTTATAACCTTGCAATATTTAATTCTAGCTCGTATTGTCATTTACCTCAAGTTATATAAAAAATATGTATCAATTCTACTATTAATTTAACTGATTATGTGTTGTGAGGTATGTCAAGTTTGTTCTTCAAAACTATTTATTATGCACCTTATATTCATATCCTATTTAGTATTGACATTTTTTCTTGTATTAACTTCTAAATTTAAATAGTTTAGCTTTTCTATTTTGTTTTAACTTTATACGAATCAAAAGAATAGTTGGCTTCTTGTTGGGCTGGGCCGTATCCCACAGGTCTGATACATATCTGGACGACTGGACTAGTACTCAATATTCCCAAAATTAAATAAAAATCCGATATTCGAAGGATACATATCGAAGCCGTATCGACGGCGTATCCGTATCGGATACGTATCGTGATACAGCACCTTCTTCACGTATCCGTGCTACAGAGCGTTGCCATGTGATCTATATGATGAACGTGTGCTCACTTGCTGCAAAGTGTCCTTCAAGTAAGCTATATGATTTTTTTTAGCTGAACACAAACGCATGTAACCGCAGGACGGTAAAGGATTACAGTAGGATCGAGAGAATTTACCTTCATATTCAGAAGAAGAGTTGTGCGGCAGCAATACCGAGCATCACCTGAAATTAGAAGGAATACTAACCACTGAAGCTGAAGCGAACAATTTTTTTTTACTTAATGGAACAAAGTTCTAGCCTCTACCATCTGTGGATGATACGCCACATAAAAACACCAAAGCCATGAGGCTTACAAGTCCAAGGAAAAGAAACAAAGTTAAGCCTAACTAGTGGGCGCAGCGAACAAAGCAAAACACTAGGCTTCAATACGATTCATGAAGTTCCAGCTGAACTTCACGAAGACAGCCATGATCAACGTCTCCCATCTTCTGCATCCCTCAAAGAACAGATGTCTCTCCTCTTCCTTATGCAGCATGGACCACTGTCGTATCCAATACGTCGTCCTGAAAATTACCTGCATCGATGTATTAGGTTTAGCTTTGTTAAATACCATATCATTTCTATTCAACCAAATCGACCAACACAATGTAGCAGCTCCCAGCAAAATCTGGTTTCTAAGTTTTAGACTTAAACCATGTAGCCAGGAACCAAACATATTGACGAAACTAGTAGGAAGTTGAATTCCATATGTGATATGCACAGTATTCCAAACAAAGCGTGCAACGTAGCAGTCAAAGAACAAATGTTGGATAGTTTCAGCCGAACTACAAACACAACATTTGATACAAACATATGATACCTTTTTATTCCTGAGGATCATATGACAATTATGTTAAGCTTTTGTGACAGCTTTAGTTGTTTCCAACATTTCGTATTACTGGTAGCATTGTACACTTTTGTGTAAACTTCAATCATTCCATCATTTTCAGTGAGCAGCTACCTGTGAGTACGAAGTTCGATATGCGTAGTGATCCTGGTGTTGTGAGGAATTATGGCCGCCTCTTGCTGGAAATGGCTTCTGCTTTTCCAGATGGCTTAGTTTGCTTTTTTGTCAGTTATTCCTATATGGATGGCATTGTCAACAGCTGGCACGAAATGGGAATTCTGCAGGCTATTTCTTTCACTTGTATATTTTTCTCTCATATAAACCCTACAATTCAGATAAAATATAGACTATGGCAACGAGGAATTGGTCCAATCACGTATTCACGTAACACCTATGCAACTCAGCCAAGTCATAAATCGTCCATATCTGTTAGATAGCGGGGCAGGTCCTCTGGAACACCATCGGTTTATAGTAAGTATATGAAATGGCGTCTAAGCATCTAATGCTATATTTTCATTGCATGTTCTGGATTTTCCATCCAACTATCTATACTCAGCCTATTCGCTTGTTGGTTTCAACCAGACCAAACCAGCCAGCCAACAGTGTTTTCCTCTCACAACAAACCAGCACCAGCCAGCCCAAACCAGCCCAGAAACCAACCATCGAACAGGCCGACTGACAAGAATCTCAAGTTGCATTAAGACTTAAAAGTATGTACCAGTACTCTCGCACTCATATAGACACTGATGAATTATTTATTACATCATCAACATGCATATGGTCGTATGGAACTGGATAGGTTGCTTAAGTGTTAAGTCTTACCTTTGGTACTAGATAGATACTATCTAGTCTTTGGACGAAGAATTACACTATCATATCTGCTGTTTTGTTATCTAAACAGATATGGCAGTTGGCAGGTATTGGTGATAATTTTTGTTATTCACAAAGATATGCTAGTCATTTGTGTTATGAAAATGAAATACCTGTAAATTTTCTATAGCCCAGATAAGATATATATGCATTAGCTCCAATAACGGAAACCTGGTGTTACCAACATAAATTAGTGTTCATCGAAACACCAGATGTCGTTGAGACAACATTGGCTCTTGATAACTACAGAAAGGCATGTGATTGTGGAAGAGGTGCCATTTTCTTCTCTGTTGCCAGGTTGGTCCACCTTATTATTTTCTGAAACAACCTTCCAAATTTTATATTTGATCATGTTAAATAATCAGTGATGTGACAGTGACTATGTAACATAGATAAAAAAAATGTTGTTGTCACCATTGTAAGCTATAGTTTCACTCTTTCTAACACCTAACTAATGCAGGGGCAAAGTTGCTGAAGGTATTGATTTTGATCGGCACTATGGCAGATTAGTTATGAAGGGCGGGTCTGGTGCAAGCGGTAGAGTCTTACCGCCTGTGACCGAAAGGTCCCGGGTTCGAGTCATGGTCTTCTCGTATTGCACAGGCGAGGGTAAGGCTTGCCACTGACACCCTTCCCCAGACCCCGCACAGAGCGGGAGCTCTCTGCACTGGGTACGCCCTTTTTATGGCATATTAGTTATCATGTTTGGTGTTCCTTTCCTGTACACACTGAGCCGGTGAGTTCTGTTCACATTTAACTTCAATCCTCTCTACACCTTGATTTTGGTGCCAAGTTATAGTTACTTTGTATGTATAAGTAGTTTGATGCATGTACACAGTTGCAATTTGTGGTGGCTTAATGATTTCGTAATAGTTGCCTTTGTTTGTCTGTATACGATTTGCAGGATATTGCTTGCTAGGTTAGAGTACCTCCGGGAAACTTTTCAGATAGAGGGTGACTTCCTAACATTTGATGCTTTGGTAATAACATTATTACTTTCAGGAAAAATAACTCCTTTTGATTGACACCTCTTATCCTTATGTTGTCGAGATATTTCTATCAAAATTTCTTGAAATAAATTTGAAATCTCATTAATGTCAGAGGCAAGCGGCCCAATGTGTTGGCTGTGTTATTCGCTCCAATGTGTTGCCCGTGTTATTCGCTCCAAAGCTGATTATGGGATGATGATACTAGCCTGTTCGCTTCAACTGAAAGCCAGCTGGCTGCTGCTGTATGCAGTGTTTTGTGAGAGAGAGAACAACCACACACAGTCACATCTGGAAACCACTGCTTTATTTTAAACATCTATTAAAATATCAACAAGAGGTGACATGCTTATGAAGTATTAAATTATGCATGAATGTGAACTTTCCAACTAAACAGTGTGCATTTGTTCACTATTTTTTCACCAACAATTTTCTCTTCATAACCATTGCTTGGCTTGATACTTACATGTTATGGACCTTTATGCATATCATACTCCCTTTATTTTGGGTCTTATGGACCATAAGTGGACAGCTTGGTTTTATTTATTTTTATATCTGAATTCCAGCAAAATTGCATCCATACTTCCATGACACATACTGCCGTTTGTTGTGCTCATTTCCCTGCTGTGTTAATGTTTTATGTGAAGTTCTACCTCTGGTAAATTATTTTCTTGCTTACAGATATAGCCAGCATGATAAACGGTCTAAGTTGCCTGGGTGGATACTGTCGCATTTGCATGATGCTCACCTAAATCTGAGCACTGATATGGCTCTCCATATAGCTCGTGAGGTATGTTTTACAAAATTATCCTTGAAGCTTCTGTTGCTTTGGGCTATTGCGATTTGCATTATGTAAGCAAATTAACTGATAAAGCAGTCTGATGCCAATTTTATTATCATCCAGAAGCTATAGTACCAGGCTCGGTGTTCGCAACTAACAAGATTCCTTTCCCCTTACATCAAGAATTTTCCTAGGAAAACTTCAATGGCACTGTTGCTATATATTGAACATTGTATCAAATTGTTAGCATTTTCGTCTCTCTTTATCACCAGCATTGACCAAAGTACCAAACCTGCTCTGTTGCTTGTCATAGTAACACTTGCTCTGCAACAGTTTCCACACGACAAGACGGGAAGCGGTGGCAAGAAGACGCTGTTGACCGAGGAGGATCTGCAGAATATGGCACAGGACGGCATGTAGATGTAACGACGTGTTTGGTTTACCGGTTGGTTTCATGCAGCGTGGGTCGGTTCCGCATGAGTCCATCTGGTAAATTTCTGCGGAACCAACTGGCTCCCCTTGTTAGCTTGTGACTATGGCTACATGGAGACGGATGAGCTCATGCCATAACTTAAACCAAACGACGATGTAGGTTCGGACATAGGTTCGAATCATTCTAAGACTGGTCGATGCCGTAAACCAAACGTGCTGTAAAATCATGGATGAGATGAGAGTTGAGAGGGTTTTGTTGGGTACTTTTGTACAAAAAAAAAAATTGTAGCCATTTTATGGTGGTAGATAACTTGTTTGGAGCATCGGTTTAAACCTCATGACGCATGCCAATTAATATACTCGTGTTCACACGGATTTGATCATCCTAACATAACTGGTAGAAACTTTCCAAACAAAGAAAAGTTCCACACTTGTACACTGCATCAATGGCCAGGTGCTGCTATTACATGGCCCGTATTCATCTCCCGAATTTTTTTTGCTGGGTTAAAAACCGCAAATTTGATTTACAAAGATTTTATGTTAACTTTGTTGAACAGAACCCTGTGTGACTCATTTATCTGGTAGTGTATGAATATCAGGACCAAAGATTTCTTGTGCTTCACGCCTGTTACTCTGTTAGTAAAAGTCTGTTTAGACGAAACGTAGGTGAATCAACTGGGTTTTAGACTCTGTTGCAGAGGTGAATCCATATGAACAAAAAAAAAAAATGAACCCTCATCAACGGACTATCCTGTGGGACAAATTTTTTTTTTGGAGTGTCTGTCAATAGAGCACACCACCAGTCTACCACTAGAACACCATCAACCGATCTCCTTCAGTTCTCATACTCGCACAGGTTACTTGTCCCTCTGCCACTGCTGCCATCACCCGTGAGCTTGGTAGCTGGCATGATGTCACCTTGATTTTAGAGAGGAATCCTTCAAATTCCTCTGGCCTGTGGTCTCATGAGGTGTAAAAAAATGTTTTTTTTTAACATTCATCTCATACACTATCAATTTTAGCAGCTGACGTGTCAGAACCACTCCGGTTTTCCCCGGTTTGCATAGTAGAGGGATTTCTCTAAAAGCGAAAGCAACAGCACTTTTCTTCTATATCTCATATAGAAGCAAAACATTTTTATGAACTCCAATAACCAATAGTTTACAGCTAGATTTTGATAACTCAATTTAATTTAGAAAACTTTTTGGGCTTGTTCGTATCATCCCCAATCCAAGTGGATCAGAGGGGATTGAGAGAGATTAGGATCAAATCCCTCTCAATCCCCTTCAATCCACTTGGATTGAGACTAAAACGAACGCCCTTAGCGTGTGAAGTAATACATCCCCAATCCAAAATTACAGGATTATACATCAAGTACTGCATGCCCAGTGCAGTCATCTGGCATTAGCATCAGGTCACCACAAACAACGAAACTCCATGACCATGATCAGTGGTTCGCACCCAATCCAAAATTACAGGATTATACATCCAAGTACCATATGCCCAGTGCTGTCATCTGACATTAGCATCAGGTCGCCACGTACAACGAAACTGCATGATGAGTGGTTCCGAGGCCTAATACATAAGGAGTCTACACTTGTCATAACTGAACCAACCGATTATCACACTGTTGCAAGAAAGCCTATGTGCCATACATGCTCAAAGCAAGCTAGACTTCATTCCTAAGTTCCCTGTCTCCCTGTCACTTGTCAGCTTGACATGTCTCATGTCTCCTGTCCTGGAAGTCAAAATTAAAAGATTCATATTACTATCAGTTCATGCGTGCTCAATATAGCCCTTCTACTAGATTTCCCAGACATGACTTAAGCTCATTCACAATTCATTGGGTATATCAACTGACTTACGTGAGCTCATATCAACCGAGTTTCTTAGTGCTGCAGAGACAGGGTACCTACCTACACAATAGAAAGATCGGTGTTATTAGATAACAAAAGCTGCTTAGCATAAATGTTGGAGGCAAATAGATATGTAGTTATCATCTACAACATTGAGAACATAGTACCTATTTTTGTTAAAACTAATTCTTAGTAATAAGGGCATCAGCATGAACCCCAAACTGTCTTTAGCCACGTCAAAACCATTTACATCCCAATGTTCTAAAATCAGATTTTGCTCAGCTATTTAGCTGAGTTGTACTATCCTTGAACTGTCTATAAGTGTACTGTGTACAAATGTGGCACTAGTGAGCCAGGTACGAAAGAAGAAAGAAGCAGCAAGTGCTCTAGCAAGGACTAGAAAGGATGACAATGCTACTACACCCACCATCTCAAATTATAGTTCACTTTGACCTTGTCGCAAGTCATTTTTTTCTAACTTTGATCATTAACATCTAAAATTTCAAATAGTTGTCATATATTACTAATTAATATGTTGGAGGGATTCACACACACACACACACACAAAAAAAGGAAGGTCGCAGGTTGGAGTGTCCAAAAGCGTATGTCTAACTAATATTGCAAGAACAGCTGCAAAATTCAATTGCAGAGAAGGCAGTACACAAGGGAAATAACATTTTTGCAATCCAGCAACAAGCAAATTTGATAGGGTTGAAAGAAGGGATGCACACCTTCTGCAATGACCTCCATGTCATCAGATACATTTAACGTCAACATTTTAGTGCAACGTTTTTGTTTGCGCATCTGGAACAAACCAACCTACAAAGGTAAAACACATTTATTAGTGCCAACGATTAATCTCATCCAGAACAAGATTATTCAATCTGAGTAGGAAATAAGTTATGAAACCAGTCCAATTCGTTTACTTTCTATTTACTTGCACACTTCACCCTTGTCTTATAAAAAAATGTTTGCTAGTTAGGGACAAACAGAAGAAACAAAGTAAATTGCAAATGAAAAACTAAACTCACCGTAAGATCCACATTTGAACCAAGGACACCTCCTTTATCAAGACAATCCTCACATGTACGCGATAGCATGATCTCAAGCTGAAAATTGGAGCAAATAAAAATATCACGAGCATAAACATGGTGACTAGCATATGAGTTCCAAAAAAATTGGATATGAATGAATTGCAGATTCTTTCTACTTCACTTGAAGGAACACAACACATCTGCAGTACACCGTACCTCAACAACGGTAGGAATACATTTTCCATTCAATGACTCGATGACATCACCATTTCTGATTCCAATTTTTTCAGCAGCAGACCCTTCTGATACCTGTGGTTCAATTAGCACTAAAATATGATTGTACAAAATAATCAAATAGAAGATATACCTGTAGAACAATAAGACCAGCCTCAATGTTGAACTTGCGGGACAATTTTTCTCTATGGAAACTCCTAAGAAACTTAATAGAAGAAACTTTCAGTCCAAGGTGCAGCCGGGGTACACACCTATGCCAAATAAATATTGTTTAGATTTCAGAAGAGATAGGCACAACCAAAGGTGATGTGAGAATTGCCTCTTTATTGTTTTTGTTGAGCGTTGAAATGGTATATAGTTATATACTCAAGAACATGTTGTAAACACGGTATCAATATTTTAGGGAAAATGCAAAATCACCCCATGTCCCATTTCGATTGAGACCCCACCCCACTTTGTTGCAAAAAAAACAACCACCTGCTGTATTTTTTTGTTACGAAAACCACTTGATTGTGCGGTGTGCTGATTGTTGCATTGAAACCAAGGAGGGTAGAAATTTGCAACGACGTGTCTATTAACGAGCCAGCTCGTTACAGCTTGGTTAATTAACGAGCCAGCTCGCGAGCCGCAACGAGCCAAACCAAATTAGATCTCAGGAACATGAACTGGCCCTTTTATCGTTTGGCCTATTGGCCCAATAAGGTAAACCCTAGCTCCCCAACTCCTCCCACGCTCCTAACCCCCAGCCAGCCAGCCCCAGGCTTCCCAATCCGCCGCAAACGCACGCTCAGCTCTTCCCCTTCCCCTCCCGAGGCACCGCAAGCGCACAGCACGCTCGGCTATTCCCCGAGGCATGCAAGCGCTGCGGCACGGCACGCACAGCACTTGCAGCAGTCCAGCTCGCCACCAGTCCACGCCAGCAGCGGTCCAGCTCGCCGACATCTCCTTCTCCCTTCCCATCTCGAGCTGGTCATGGAGGATGAGGAAGAGGTTCCAAGGATGCTTTCTCCGGTGGCGGCAAGTCTTGAATCGAGAGGAGCAATGTTAGACAAATTTGATAAATATTGGGAAGTGAAGAACAATGTCATGGTTATTGCTACAATCCTTGACCCTAGGTTCAAAATGAGATATATTCAGTTCTATTTTAGTGAGCTTTATGACTCCTCAAGGTGTGAACAAGAGGTTGCTGATATAAACAAAGAGTTAGAAGAGCTGTACAAGAAGCATGAGTTGGAGCAACGCCGGAAAATGGGTGGCAGTGGCAGCTCAACCACTCAATCAACCTCATCATCAAAGGAAACAACCAGCTCACTGGCTTGTCTTGTTTCAAGTGAATTTCAGTCCATCCTAGAGTCGAGTGCTTCAGAAAGTTCAAAATCTGAGTTACTTATCTACCTAGATGAAGCAAACCATCTTTTACATGATAAGAATTTCAACTTACTCCACACTATTGGAAGGTGAATGCTCTTAGATTTCCTGTTATGTCTAGTATGGCAAAGAGGTTCTTAGCTGTCCCAGCTAGCAGCGTATCATCTGAGTGCACTTTCAGTGGTGGAGGTAGAATTCTTGATGATTATAGGAGTTCTTTGAAGCCAACGACAGTTCAAGCACTTGTTTGTGCATCTAGTTGGATACGAGGTTCTAAAAGTCCTTTTCTTCTGGTATGTGATGCTTAGTCTATTTTTCAACTACATTTTTTCCCCAAAGTTTGTGTATGTAAATATGTAATGCTTAATTCTTTTACTGTTTTCACAGGGAGAAGATGGCGATGATGGTGACACTGAGAGTGTGGAGTTTCCCAGCAGTGTGGTGGAAAGCAACTAGTAAGTCTATTTTAGAATGTCCAGCGGTGTGGTGGAAATCATATTTGTTCTCACTTAATGTGTTGTTCACATACAGGTAACAAGCTACAAGGGAGAAGAGAACTAGGGACCTGTTGGCTGCGCCCCATGGATGCTTCTGACTTGCTTTTGGTGTCAATTGGCAATTTGGCATGCTGCTATCATGCTGCTGCTGTAACAGCATTACAGCAAACCTATATATATATTTTTCTATGCAGACCTGATCAGTCTAGCACACTAGCTGTTGCTCATTTATATTTCGCTACGTTCTTAAATTCTGTATGGATGAATGGAATCCTTCAATGGATGATGCTTTACTGTATGAGTATGACTATCATGGAGTCATGGTCGTGGTCGTGGTGGGCTGGCAGCTGGCTGGACAAAAATCTAGTAAATTTATAAGTACTTTGTTTAGTTCATTTTAAGTATGCATGTGATGTGTTTGTTGCTCAATTGCTATTATAAATTTATAATCTCTCTCTGTACTATGTTTTAATGATTTGGCTCGCGAGCCAAACGAGCTAGCTCGAGCTTGCTAGCGAGCCGAGCCAAGCCGAGCTAGTCTACTGGCTCGTTTGTATAACAAGACGAACCGAGCCAATATGTTAACGAGCCGAGCTATAACGAGCCGAGCTGTAACGAGCCGAGCTGGCTCGATATCCAGCCTTACTATGAAGCGACTAGGTAATAGAACTGAAAAGCAATACTTACTTGAAATCCTTCCACATACGCAAGCACTTAAGTGTAAATACATGAGGAATGAATGATGCTCCAATAGTGGGGTTGGCCATTCCCACAATTCTTCCCTCTGTGTCAATGGCTGGCGCTCCATCACTAAACTGTTACATTTACCATAATATGAGATTTGCTGACAATAATAGTTAAGAATGCTTTGTGATAATTGAGAAATCAAGAAAAATTATATCAGATGTAAATAAAAACAAAACACATGAGTAGTTACATTAGTACCTTGGCAAATTCACATTCAAGATACATATAGTGATAGTGATCATAATATCCTGGATCTATGCATTGCACTCTGCCATGAGAGGCATTTAGATTTAGATCTTCATCCCTTCCAATAAGAAAAACCTCTTGGCCATAGTCTACAAGTTCAGTGCTAACAGGAGGTAACTTTGTAGACATATTCATATCCACCTCAAACACTGCAATATTGTAGTGCTTGTGATAATTGATTAATGTGCCTTTTTGAGTAGTGTCATCTAACAAATGAATTAGCACCTGAAACAATAAGAGTAATGATATTGTTTCTTAAAAACAGTAAAAGAACAGTACAAGAGACATGCTCCATAATATTTTCTTTAGGTAGATTTATATTATTATTTTACTTTCTAAAATGTTCAACATAACCTATCTACTCCACCCGCTTTACAATAGTTGTTTGGTCTAAATACATAGATGACAGTGCATTTGATTATGATTAAATGGAAGTGTCGAATAAGAATGCATTGAATAGTTTATGAAAATAAGTCTCATATTGTTATAAGGACCGGACAAATGTTATGAAATGGAGATATTATAATGAGCAATCTAAGTGATACAAGAATGAAACAAAATAAATTAGAATTAAGATCACCTCGGCATCAGGAGCATATTCACGTGGGCCTGACCAGTCATCAATATTTGGGGATTTCGTGCACAATAAGTTTGCAGATGTCAAGATAGTACCACGTTTGGTGTCCTTGTTCCAGCCAATTAAGAAACCAGAACACCGTTTCAAGAGTTTACTGTCTGTATATTATGTATAGTATATATAATCAATTAGCGAAAAATTTGACAAACCTTGTATATAACTCTTTTATTCTAGTGCAATTACAGCCCATGTCTAATAATTAACCAACATAAAAAAAATTGCAGCACCATTATACAAATTCTTTTCCAAACCTTGTATATAACTCTTTTATTCTAATGCAATTACAGCACATGGTCTAATAATTAACCAACATAAAAAAAATTGCAGCACCATTATACAAACTCTTAAAAAACAGTGTTTATGTATGTATATATAAAAGCAAACAAAGGCAAACTTCACAGAGCTTATATGTATATAAAAGCAAATAAAGGCAAACTTCACAGAGCTTATATGTAATCTCATTTTTTTTCTAGTCTATTATAGTCCATGTATAATTAACCAGCATTGAAAAAAAATTCGGCAGTCTTATACATATTCATAGAAAAGGAAAAGAGAGTGCATTGTATATACCGATATAAGATGTAAGTCCCAAAACAGCCTTGGCGGTTTTGAAAACCATCTGTGTGACAGACTCTCGAACAGGGAGGAAAGATTCATCATCTAGACACGTAATAGGCCCATTGTGGTTGAGAGATAAGAGGTTATTCTGACGATCTGCATGTAGACATGTTCATCATAAAAAGACTATCACGAGCTATTCATTCAAATAATACAAGTTCACCATAAAATGAATATCACGAGCTATTCATTCAATATATAATACAAAGTTGTAGTAGTTGATTAGACTGAAAGCTAAGAAAAAAAATACATTTTAAATGAGAAACTACGAAGGGGGGGAGAAAAGAAAGCGATGGATCGAGCAACATACCGAGCTTCGCTTGGTACTTTGCATTCTCGTCCTGGTAGGGAATGATGTTAGCCGAGTCCCAAGGCTCCCTGACCATGTATGGTCGCCGAATGGGGGAGGAGACATCGGAGGCGGCGCCATCGGGTATGGCCTCCGCGCTGGCCCTGTCCTCTTGGACGGCGGCAGCAGAAGCTGAGCCTGCCGCGGCATTCTCTTGGCTACTCGCGTTCGTCGTTTTCTGCTTCTTGGAGGAACTCCCCTCATCATCGCCACCCTTCTCGGCCATCCTGGACCGCTTGCCGAACTGCGGTAACAGCGAGGGTTCCCGCAGCGCCGCTCTCGACCGGGTGGTCACTGCGGGCGTGGGTCGGCTTAAAGGAGCGCGTCCACGCCGCGACTGGGAGCGGGAGCCCGCGCCCCCCGCACCTCTCCCCTTCCCTTTGGTCGGCGGCATAGTACTTTCGGCTTCCGACGGCGTGGGGATCGCTCGGATTGGTTTCAAAATTAAGCCGACCCAACACCGCTACCGTCTTCCACGTAGGTTTCAAAATGTTGGGACCTAATCCCGCTACTGTCTTCCACATAGGTTTCAAAATATTCATCATATATGACATTGTCTCTAATGAAATTATGAAAAACCATACAAGCAACGATAATCTTTGATTGTTTCTCAATTGGATAGCTAGATAACTGCAAGAGAGTGCGCCACTTCATCTTGAGAACTTCAAATGACCGCTCAATCACATTTTGGAGGGATGCATGAGCATAGTTAAACACCTCCTTCGATCCCACCGCATGACGACCATGTTGCCATTCCGACACATGGTACCTTTGTCCTTTGTAAGATGCTAGATATCCTTTTCTATTAGAATATCCAGAATCAACAAGGTAATGCTTGCCTTCAGGTAGATGTGGAAATTTATCCTTTTAGATGACTAAAGTATCCAAAAATACCCAAGTGTCATGAACAGATCCAGCCCAACCTGTGACAACAAATGTGAACCACATATCGAAGTTACAAACCGCCATGACATTTTGTGAAGCATAACCATGTCGTCCAATGTATTTTGCATGTTTACCTTTTGGTATAGTTACAGGTATGTGTGTACCATCTGAAAGTGCATCTAGCCATTTAGTGAGTTTTGGATGATTGAATGACAACGTGATTAAAGGTCTAACCCGTTTGTTAAGTGTGGACAGGTTATAGGTTATCTCACAGATACTTAATGAAAGCCAAAATGATGTGTTGTTGTATAAACAATCTAGTTCAAGTACAAGACAACAATGCAAATGTTATTCATGCAAAGGCTCATTTATTGTGGGATTTTCATTTGCTATGTGAAAGCAAGCTCGTGAGAATTAATTAATGAGACATGAGAAATTGCATATGGAATGGTCTCATACTTGAAGCTTGCTAAATTGAAATGAAAAAAAAAATAATACAAATGAATGGATGATTCAACACAAGAAGTGACTTGATGACTTGAGATGGTGAAGATAGCAAGGAAAGGCTTCGAGGTACTAAGCAAGGGTGAAGGGCAAGCGACGGCTTGACGGCCGAAGAACCTAGCTAGGGTGAAAAAGAAAGTACTTGCATTTAGTTGAGATACTAATCAAGCTACGATAGTCATATTGATGTGAAGGATCAAATCACTATTGGAGTGTTTGATAGAAGTGACTTGATACATTTGGGATTATTCAAATTTGATGAATGGAATCAAGTCACGTGCTCAAGATGGCTATGCTCAAGTGAAAAAGATCAATATCAACATGTTGGCACCCTCACTTGATGAAGATTGGAATACACGGCTTCGGTTCAAAAACAAGAGCAACTCAAAAGGTTTAAATCCGTTATACTTTTAAATTTGAGTAAATAGGAATGCCGTACTATTAAGAGGGATGCATTATGTTGATAGATAATGTTTCATAAGTGCTCGAGCCAACCCAAGTGAGTTTTGAGTATTTGAGCGACTAAAGAGCTAACTTTATTTTTGCTGGTCTGGCAATACCGGACGTGTCCGGTATTTACCCAACAATTGTAAAATTGTTGTTCTCGGGTTGGTTCGTCGGGAGTTCCGGCAATGGTCGGGAGTTCCGACGACTCGCAATTTAAATAATTTGGAGAGTTCACTGTCCTGGTCATACCGGACGTGTCCGGTATTCATACCGGTATGCATGACCAGAGGCCAACGGCTAGTTTTCCAAAGCCTTGAGGGTCGGGAGTTCCGACGGTAGGAAGTTCCGGCATGTGTCGGGAGTTCCGACACCTCATATTCTTTAACTCAGTTACAAGGTTTTCAAATTTGCTGAGGATCGGGAGTTCCGACGTGAGTCGGGAGTTTCAGCGGTCGGGAGTTCTGGCATTCATCGGGAGTTCCGACGCCTCACAACTTCTCTGTAACTTAGTTACCGTTGGGGCAGTGTAAGTCATAACCGGACGTGTCCGGTATGCATACCGGACGTATCCGGTATTGCAACGGCTATAAAACGGCTAGTTTTTCAAGGGGGCTATAAATACCCCCAAGATTCCACCTTTGGAGGCTGCTGATTCTGCTGAGATAGACACACGTTTTTGAGCCTTGCCAACTCTCCTAAACCCTCTCTTAGTGAGTGTGTGATCCAAATTGCAAAATCAATTTATGGGTTAAGAGAGAATTCGAAAAAGAGAGCAAGCCACCACTTGAGCACTTGTGCATATTGTCAATCTCGTGATTCGCATTTGTTACTCTTGGACTCTTCGGTCCTAGACGTCTAGGCGTCGCCGGAGAGCAACCGAGAGATTGTGGTTGCTTCGGAAAGTTTGTAACGGTCGATTCTGCCACCTCGGAATTATTTAGTGGAAGGAGGAAAAGGAGTTGAAAAGACTCAGGCTAGAGTGACCTTCGTGGTACCCTCTAGGGCTGACCTTCGCTGGGTCACCCGTAGCCCCCTCAATGGAGAGTAGGACTCGAACGAGTCCGAACTTCGGTAAAACAAATATCGTGTCTCAATTCGCATTTTATTTGATATTTGTGTTGCTCTAGCTATTCTGCAGGTTCTCTGTGTATATTGTCATCTCCATTAGGTGCCTGCAGTTTGGTTTGAAGATAGAAATCGAAAGGAGCAAGTTCAGGGCCGATCTGCAGAAATCGTGTATACCGGACACGTCCGGTATTTCCTGCCTGCACTGAAAATATTTATTCTCTGTTCTAACTTGGTGTTGCAGGGTTGTAACTTCTAGATATATTCTTTATACCTTGTTTACTCTGTGGCTATCTTGTGAGGGGTGGTAGTACTCTTAATTTGGAGTTTCCATTTTGGAAACTCCCCTTTCTAATTGTTTCCGCATTCAAAGGTGTTAATTTTCAGAAACGCCTATTCACCCCCCTCTAGGCGACATCCTAGGTCCTTTCACCATCAATGGTGCCTATGCAATCGTTGAAATGAGGCCAAAACCTAGCTTGTTGTAGTTTTGGATGAACTGTACCAAAGTGTGGATCCTTAGGTCTTATGATGTCAATAGACAGTCTACAAATTGAGTCAAGTACCTCACTAAACTTTCTACTGACAGTTTCTAATGAATGACCAAACCTATTTGCAACTTGTCTAAACGATTGAGGTGCACCACATGTCCACAGAAACATGCCTAAGGCTTCCTTAGTACAAATATCACTAGTTGATCTCAAGCCATAATTCTGAACCAAAGTCCGATGGAGACGATAGAACACTGACCTTGTCATTCTAAACATATTGTAGCACTGGACTCTATCATTTAGTTGGATTTCAACCCACTATATCCCTGTCATGACTGGTACATCCGGAACCACCTCCTTGTTCTTTGCAACACTGCTAGTTGAGCCCATGAATTCCAATGCAATATATGCAACCATGAAATCATCATCAGCACCCGATTCATCCTGAATTGCATCCTCATCACTGGAGATGCTCATCTTGATTTCAGCACCTAAAATAGGTACACAGTATGAAGCATGAGCAAAGGAACAGAGGGAGCATATACACGAAAAATTATTCGCACAAGCAAAATCATAACATAAATCATCAAATAATGTGCCCATTACATAAAAAATCAAATAATGTCTGGAAGTGAACAATTAATTTTACTACATAACAACACTAATTTTTTCGGTCCTTCCATGCCCGCCTCAGCCAATTAAGCCTCCCATTCGGTGTCTTCAAAGTAATGAACACATCACGGTTTTCCTTTTTCTTAAGAAGTTGGGTGGCATAGTAGTGTTCATCACTCCCTTCTTCAGCACCATCCAACATAGCCCCAATCTCATCTCTAACATGATCAACCGCATGAGAAGTTGCTGAATTTTTACTACTTTGGGCCTTCTTCTCATATGTGTCAACCAACCTCTTCATAAGTTGATCTCTATATGTCTTCTTTTTCTTTCCTGAGGGGGGACCTTGAGCTGGCCTTTTGTTAGGATTTGGTGTGACATGTGGTGAACCTCTCCCTTCGACTCTCTCACTATCACCATGACCATGACCGGCCTCATGCTCCTCACCCTCTCCATCATCATGACCACTTCTAGGAACATAGGATGTCTCATTAGTCACACTAATAGCATCAAACATTATCCGCATCATGTCCTCGTGCTCCAGAACTGCAGATTTGAAACTTATACATCCTGGCATAGCCTAAAACATTAAATGATAACAATTAGAGGATGGCATGCCGATGAGTACTAAAATACAAAAGATGACATCTCAACTACTCACCGTATTTTGTTCTGCCCACCATTCATCACTGGTAGAAATACATCCGGTCACAGGATCCCTTCCCAACCCAGTGGCTCTCATGTTCAAGTTTTTCCACTGTGCATATTTCTTCTTTAGTACATCCCATTTGTTCTTCATTTGCTCTTTGTCATACGGCCTCTTTGTTCGCTCAAAGAACTTCTTCACCAAATTAGCATAACCCACACTATTCAAGCAATTGTGTGGTCTTTTATGGGCAAGCACTTCTTCTACGCATATTTCATTTTAAACTTTGGTGACAAAAGGATCCCATTTTGCTTGAGGCTTGGCTACTTTTTCCATCTATAAAGTGCAACAAATCTGAATTTCTAGCAGCAATACCATGCACTGAGGAGTTCTACCAACTACACTACTGCCTGCATTGAGCTATGAGCTAACAAAAATGACATATGAGGTGGGAAGCCGATGGTCATGTCCTCACCTTTGCAGGAGAGCCGATGGTGTGGAGGTGAGGGGAGCCAGCGGTGGCGAGCCGGCATCCTAGGGCTGCAGCCGGCCTCCACCTAGGAGTGCAGTTGGCGTCCAGGGGCTACAGCCGGCCTAGGGAAGCAGGTCCTGAGTAGATCCACTCGGGTGCCTAGGGCTGCTGCCGGCCTCCTCCTGGGGCTGCAGCCAACCTAGGGCTACAGGTGGGGAGTAGATCTGGTTGGCCGCCTGGGGCTACAGGTGGGGGAGGGGAGGGGAGCCGGT